GTCCAGTTTATAATCTGGTAGTTAGCCCGGTAGAAGATAAAGGATGGACGTAAGACTGGGCAATTCCACCCCTTAAAAACCAAACAACATTGCTATTGAAACTTCAAAAGGTTTGGTTCCCTATGTTCCACTATGGCTAAAGTGTTGAGCACAAAATTGAAGACATTGCATAATGTTATTAGGATTTCTGAGATATCAGTTGAAATCACATCATATCATCCAAAATCTGCAGTCATGAATCTTTATATGATAAGAAAGCAGGTGTTGAGTGAAACGCTGATATTTATGTAGCCTATTTATACATGGAAATGTAACTTTTTGGTTTGGGGACTTGATTTTCAACTAAAGGGTTCAAGGTTCACATGCTGTCCCACACATTTCACACTGGGAAACTAGGTCTAACAATAATTATCTGGTTCTTAGCCTAGTACACAAAAGATTTCATTTCAAACTTGTTTAGTGTTGAAAATCGCAAGAAAATTAAATTAAAATTACTGATGAAGAGTCCCAAACTAGGACGAAACAGCTATCCAGTACTCCCAGGTTTTCCAGTGGCTCTCCAACTGATGTCAGCTCATGATGAAATCCTCCATGCAATCAAACAATCCCTACAAAACCAATACTTGAAAATTAATCTGATGCTCACTAGTGACTGGCCCTATTCAAGCAGTTAACCTGGGGTTCTAGTCGGAGGCCGTGACCAGTAGGGTACAGCAGGTTGAAGATGAGGCAGTAACTCATCGAAGAAGACATTGCGAAATGGTCGCGCCATGTCGTGAATTGGCAGAAGTTAGAATTCAAGGACCTTTGGATTGGGTCCCAGTGGCTCAATGGTCTACGAGCTCGCCTTGTAACCAGAAGGCCCTAGGTTCGAATCCCGGTGGGTGCGTACTGATGAAGAGTCCCAAACTAGGACGAAACAGCTGTCCAGTACTTCCAGGTTTTCCAGTGGTTCTCTAACTGATGTCAGCTCATGATGAAATCCTCCACGCAAAGAAAATTAAAGCATCCCATTCTCGCTTAATTGTTGTCATAATGACATTTCTAACGACTACTGCAGCATTAAAGCCTGAATTCTAAATCGCCAAGAAAGCAGAAACACTCCTGTGTACTTGACTGACTGGTTTCAACATAGAACTTTGCACAGATGTGCAGCAGTTCGAGTCGCCACGCTCGATGTAGCACACAAAGCAAGGGAAGAGAGTGAAAGGAAATGCAAAATAGAGACAGTAAACCGAGAAATGAGGCAAAAAGAATAGTGATATCGAAGAACTTGGGTTCATCTCAGTGAATAATTCATGTGGACGAGACTTCTTCACAAATAACCTTTAAATATTTCTTGTTTTCTCGAAGAAACCTCTCAATGAAAATAAATTCATATCAATATATCTTTATAACAAGATTCAGATTTTTAACGCCTAATCTCAAGTCAGTGCTTCTATACGGTTTAGAGGCTTAATGCATCACGAAAAGCATTTCCATCAGGCTTCAGACTTTTATCAATAGCTGCCTTTGCTAGTTCGATACTGAAAATCAGATGTAGCCAACCAGAAAAGATTGGTAACAAGCAACTCTAAAAGGTAGCGAACCGACCGAGAGCCTTTCGCCCAGTAAGTATACCTAAAAATGGGGATGGATCAGGCACACACTGAGGACACCGTTGAGTGACATCCCGCTTATGGACATTTGTGAAGCCAGCTGAAAAAGACTGCAGGAAACAGAATGAAGCAGAGATGTGCTGTTGAAGCCCTATGTTCCACTTGGAACCCAAGGGAATAATAGTAATGATAATAATAGTTTATCTTTGAACCAAGGGTTTTCTGTCCGTTGCTTCCAACCGTCTAACACCTATTTAAAGTGCATCGCGATATTATGCACCATATTTTAAACCTGACACCCAGCACTAAAAGCCAGATCCGTAACACTGGTTAGCTGGTTAAATCTTATTTATCCGAAACAAATTTTAATGCGTCAGGCTAAGAGCCACACTTATCATATATGTATGAGAGTACGTGTTGCGCTTGTCCATCCATCACATTCCTCGTTGACTAGTATTAGTTGACATGAGAGCAGACTGGAGAAGAGTTAAGGGAAGTGAAACGAAAACCTGGCATCTGTCTACGAAGTCTTTTGCAGTTGGCTGGAAGTCAGCCACGTAATTAGGTATAGACTACCTGACTGGGTTGATCAGAATGTTAAGAGCCAATGACTGGCGATTATTGATGATATTGCTCAAAGTCTCGTTATGAATGACGCAGATGCATTGTAATCTCCTATCCTCTAATCTGTCTTGCTTTTTTCCATGTTACTATTCCTTCTCCTGTACATTTCCGCTTATTAGAGTTGCTTTGAATCTTTTGTTGTGTTTTTCTATCTTTTGTCCACATGAGGTGTGTCAACTTCAACTGGTAGTACACTTCAGTGCAAAGTTCTATGTTGAGATTCAATCAGCCAGTGAGTCAGGATATTATTATCATTAGAAGGATGACTTGTTAAAAATTTTATTAGTATGGCAGTACTTGGGGGGTTCTCTTTGCTCACTTTTTCTTTGAGAATATAACTTTTCGTGGCCAAGTTAAACTGTCAAAGTCCATCAAAAACCGACCTTCAAGAACCAATCAGATTTAGGGGACGCTATGAAAGGTCATTCCAAATCAAACCATGCCTGCCTTTTTGGATTTAGTAAGGGTAGATACAGTATTCTACTTATTCCCTAGACACTTAGAGTAAATCTCTACTCCTAGACAGGGTTATGTTTAAGATTAAGATTAGGGTCCAGGGTTAAGGTTAGGATTAGAGATAAAGTCAGGGTTAGGCGCTAGGATTGCCGGTTAGAGTTACGAGGGTAGGCTAAAGAAAAGTGTCCAAAATATCAATGGATCCCAAAGTTCCGTGATCTACAGTCACTTTGATGAATACATCGGTCGCGCATGGTATGATGTCTCTATAGATTATCCTTATAATGACTGGGAGAGATTCTTAAAATACATAAGCGACAATTATCTAGTGTAATATCATGTTTGCAATGTGTTTTTTAAATGTATTTTTCAATAATTCTGTGACCGTTTGCATCTCATTTCTGATTGGCCATTCAAGGCCACTGATTTTGACTATGATAGTTGAACTTTTTATCTTTTTCATTCTCTATTTCTTTCATTTCAGGGTAAACGTCATCATTTACATCATCATAAATTTGGACATGGTGCAGGTCAAGGTGGTATTGGTATTGGTGGATCTGGTGACTTAACAGTTCACGACTGTCCGTTATGTCAATCAGAAGCTGCAGCGGCTGCAGCCGGTGGTAGTGGTGCAGCAGCCGGTAGTAATACAGCTATGAGAGCAGGCTTTATGTCAGGTGCTAGTAATCTTCTGTCTACTCCACTGAAACTACCAGCAATTAGTAGTGGTGATGTCGCTGCGACAATGGGTAGTGCTGCTTTATCACTGAATAACAGTGAACCATCCGGTGGTCGGTTATTACTCAATGAAGCTGATATTTATGGAGGTTATCCAATGAAATTTCTAGTCATGGTGGTAAGATATACATATATCATGCTTTTATGAAATAATAATAATAATCACGGAGAACATTTGTTGCTCTGGTGGGTGATTTTTTATGTGGTTGTGTTCTCTGAATTGGCTGTGGTGGTTTATGAGTTGCGAAGCTTTCATTCTTTCGTTTTAGACAATATCGCCTCAGCGTGCTGACTTCAATATAAAGTGTCAACAAGTTTGAATTGCCTATAAATGATACAATTGTATCCCCTAACAACTTTTGTTGTGTTTAGTTGTTAATTTTCACTAGTTATTGGTCGTTTTTATTGATTTTTCCTGTCATGTTACTTATTCTTTATTACTAATTGATAAATTGGATCTATAAGTAGTGTCTGTTGATCGTAGATTCTTCAGAGCACCAGACTTCTAGGAATTCTCTGGCATTACTTATGGTGTTCCCACTGTCTAAAGTCTCTGACACTTTCTCAGTTGAATCGGTGTCCATAGTTGCGTCTAGATGCATCGATGCGAAAGAATACATGTCGTGTATTTTTACAGTTAGTTTGTGCTCTTGAACTTGGAGTCGAAGGGGACGATCAATTTGACCAATATGGTGCTTATTACAGTTCATTCAGTTGATTTTGTAGACAGAAATGGTCTTTTCTTGGTGTTGGGTCTTTTGATCTGCACACTGTCGAATGAAGTGATCCTGTTTATTTGTGTGTGATTTCTATTTTAAATGGTTTTAATATTCTAACCGTTACTTCAGAAATATTCTTTATATTATGGTAGGGTAGTTTGGTAAGGATAGTTTCCTGTTGACAGTTTGATTCGAGTCTAGACATTTTCTTTGATGAAATTGTATGGGTATGCATTTTCCTTCAAGTCAATCAGTGAATATTTCTCTTCCATTCTCCTTAGGAGTGCGTCGATTATTCGGAGGTAGAATGCTCTCCAGCCAGCCGTATGTGGTCTGGGGTTCGATCCCCAGCCGACGCACTCCTGAACCTCTCTAAGACGGTAGTAAGCCCGATAAAGAGGAAAGGTTGAGAGAGAGGCTAGCAATACCACCCTGTAAAAATAATGCCACTGCTACCGACACTTCAAAGTCTACCTGGAATGTAAATGAATAAAAAAATGATAGTTAAAATTCTCCTCAGGACTGGAGTGCTACAGTGGTGTGTGTGTGTGTTATCTCTTCTGCATAATGTTTGTACACAGTTGGATTATTGATTTTGTAGTTGTGGCATTAAAAACCATCCATGCTAATACAGATTATTAACAAGCAATAACAACAAAGGTTGTTGTCAGGAAATACAATTATATTATTCAGATGAAAAATTCAAATAAGTTCACACTTTTGCCAAAGGGATGGTTGTGTCTAGTAAGAAATGATCAAAAGCGTCACAGTGAAGTCATTGAGCTCAGGAAAAGCAACTACTTGAAAATCAAGATATCTTTGCAGTAGTTATCTTGCAGTTGCTTCTTCAGTTATTAGGGGGAAGGATTAGTGGTATAATAAACATTCCCTAATTATTTGGGCATTGGTGAATTGGTTCAGTTTATTGATCAGTTTAACCCTAAAGAACTAGTGTCAGAGAAAATCTGGATTACGAACTTCCTGGAATAATTTGAGCGCCGAGTCAGATTGATTCATTATAAATTGATGTAGGTTGTTTGTCGTACACATGCCAAGTTGCATCATCTTTGACTTCAGTGATCTATCTATCTACCTGTAGTATGAAAGATTACTCTTAGAAATGGTCGCTAAGGGTAGAAGATAGGCACAGTTGTTTTTTTCCAGTTAGAGGAATTTTAAGTTAAAGGGAATTAGACGTAGAGGGTTAAGGGTTTAGTGAATGCATGTCAAGCCACCCATTACCGATGGTTAGTACGAAGTGAGAATTACATGGACTGTGTTGCCGACGTGACTAACTCAACATCTGAAACTAATGTATGAAGTCATTGACTGTGATGATCTGAGCCATGTTCGTGGGTGTATACTCAGAGTGCTGAGTCCGCATATATATCAATTGAAATCAATCAAATCCCTGCAAAGCAACACTTGAAAATTAATCTGATGCTCACCAGTAGTAATAACTGACTACAAGATAAAATTGCCTGAAGTTCTATTGAGAAGTTGTGACCACTGGGGTCTACCAATTTGGAGTGTGTGACGATACACACTCGCCGATGACATTAACTGCCGGTCGCGGCGTATATTGCAAATTGACAAAAGGTAGAACTGATGGGTGATTGGACGCACTGTCCCAGTAGCTGAATGGTATACGAGCTCGTTTTGTAACCTAAACGTTCCCGGGTTCGATCCGTGGCGGTAGGATCATGGGTGCTGACTGCTGATGAATCTTAAACAAAGACACGGAATGGTTTTCCTAGGAGTCCTGTGAATTCTAGTGAATTTTTTGCGTCAGTGGTTGAGTGGTGGAATGCTTACCAGCTACGCACATTGCTCGTAGTTTAACACACGGCCGATGCACTCGTAAGCGTCACCCAGTTTTCTGGTCTATAGTAAGCCTAGAAAAAAGGAGAGGTGCTGGGCGAGGTTAGAAGTTCCATTCCGTAGAAACGACAATACGGCTACTGAAACTTCAGGGTTTCAAGCCTAAAGCCCTGTGCTCCACTTGGAGCACAAAGTAGTGAGAAAAAAGTGGATTTATGATTCATAACCATCTAAACTAGTATTATTGCAGTTTAGCATTTTCACTCACTCAAAAGTTTTATCACCCACACACACACACACAAAAGCTACTTGTTATTGTCTGTTGTATAATCCATATCTATTTAAAGTGAAATTGAAAGTAATTTACTTTCAACAGCCGCTTGCAACCACATGTAGTTGGCAATTAACACACATATGTGAAGACCAGTAGTACTACCTGTCCAAGCCCTGGTAGATGCAGCTGGTATCGAACCTGTAACTAAGTGGTAGGAAGTCGAGCATCTAGACCGATAGGCCACAGCTCCACATATCTAGGCCCTGTTATACGCCTATAAAGATAAAATCTTCGAGGAAGGAAGGAATTTTTCTCTGTGACTTTTTTGTTGTATGTATAAACGGGTTGATCTCTGACAAAATCTCAGCATGAATAAAGAGGGCTAGTTTCGCATATGTCAGTTTACGCCGTCTCTGGCGTAGACGTGATATCCGACTATCGACCAAAGGGCGTGTGTACTGCTCAGCAGTCCGCTCCGTCCTCCTTCATGGCTGTGAGACCTGGTCATTGAGAGTGGAAGACATGAAAAGATTAGCTGTCTTTGATCATAGGTGTCTGCGTTCTATCTCCCGCGTGAAGTGGTATAATAAGGTGAGCAATAATGAGGTTAGGCGTCGAGTGCTAGGTAAGGCGGGGAAATCAATCGACGAAACGGTGAAATTACTTCGACTGAGATGGTTAGGACATGTGCTACGTATGCCTAGTCATCGCCTTCCTCGACGGGCAATGTTAGCTGATATAGGGCCAGGCTGGAAAAGAGCTAGCGGCGGTCAAACGAAAACATGGCACCAGTCAATGAAATCCACAACAGTTAGTCTAAGCCACTTAGGAAGATGTAGACTTCCTGGTTGGGGTCCTCGGGACGGTAAAAACCAATGGTTGGAAACAATTGGTGACATGGCTCAAAATCGTTCTCAATGGCGCAGATGCATCCACTCCTTGTGACTTATGATTTCCAATGAAACTATATTGTTCTTCGTTATTACTATTCCTTTGTCTCACACCTCTGTTTACTGTCTATATTATGCATTTCTCCTCTTTCTTTGTGTGCTACATGGGGTGTGGAGACTTGAACTGCCACACATATGTGCAAAGTTCTCTGTCGAAAACAGACAGACAGACATAAATGGTGGGGAAATTATTAATTTAAATAAAAGATAATAACTTCAGCAACGAAGTCATCTTCAAGGATTGTGCAATCGTGCTTATTTCAAGTTTGATTGCAACTGATTTCATCAGTTACATAATCAAGGAGTACTGGACAGCTGTTTCGTTCTAGTCTGAGGCTCTTAGACAGTAGGTGCTTGTGATCCCCAGTAGGGATCGAACTCAGAACCTTCAGGTTACAAGGCGAGCTTGTTGACTGTTCAGCTGCTGGGATGGAATCCACTGCTTCATCAGTTCTAACTCCAGCCAAATCGCAATATATATATATATGCTGATTATTCAGCTGAAGAGCTCTACTGAAATTTGAAGAATTTCATTAAATCCTGCTTCACTGACATTCGTTGGTTGTTCTAAATCCATGTCGGGGAGTAAATGTTTCTAATTAATAATAATAACAATTGATTTAGTCAAAAAAGTGGCTTCTGAATTTAGACAGAAATTACGTAACAACCAGTGACTCAATAGAAGTAAGGATTTGAAATTTGATTAGCTAAAAATTGTTATAAGATATGAAGCCAGTCAGCATCAGCATTCACTTGGCAAGTGCCTAGTAAAATTCCCAACAGCGATATGTATTGTAACCCGGTAATATTGAATTACTAAAAATAGAAGCAGGCAATTAGAAAAGAGTTTAAGACCATAGTAGAATTATTGGCTAAAGAAGTCTTCCATGCACGCAGAGTTCGGAGTGAAGTTAACGAATCGCCAGCTCCTCTTTCATACACAAGTGTGAAAATAGTTCGGCCTCACGTTGTAGATAATGTCAGAAGAGGATTACGATAGAGCTGTGTGGTCTGAATTCCCCAGATGTTCGAGAATTGTCATCTTTACGCGTATGTATGTCGGATAGAGCTCTGTGACGATGTGTTTGCAAAGCGTGTGCTTTTTGTGTGGTAAATATTAATAATAGCTCCACGCGTTGAAGTAACCTGAAGCGACTTTTTTATCCTTCACACATCCATTTATCAACTGAGGACATTGACCCCGTAGCTCACCTGGAAACCTGTTTTTGTTTTTCAACACTTTGGAAAGGTGGTTTTTTTTCAGAATCTCCTTTTCTTTGACCTAGTTACCTACCTATAATGTTGCTGTCCACGTAAAGTCGGAAAGGGCAAATAGTCGAAGGCACCTATCGTGAATTTACAATTCCCTAACACCATATTCACAAGATATAAGAATATTAGTAGGTAGGCGTTAGAGATTCACATCGATTACATAAATCTAATGTAATTAATTATTTATATTGTATCGTGAATTGAATCTGTTTCTGTCTTTGTATTTTATAGACGAAATTATCTAAAATATTAGAAGTTAAAAAGCGTTGTGTTGATGAATTACAAGACTTGAATGATGAAGCAGAACGAAAGGTAAATAGTAAATTTTGTAGTTTTCTCTTATAGTTTGTCTCACCTATTTTTAGATTTCAAATAAAGCTGAACTGTCTTTAGAATTTCAACACAACTATCTTACACTAGTTATGCATTTAGAACGATTAAATAAGGAATTGAATCAATATTTGGCGCATGTCTTACAATATGCTAATGAGGTAAGTTCAATATTTGTTTGTGCATTATCTTATATCATTATTATTATTACACCCCCCTGGGTTCTGATTGCAACATATATGTCTCCAACAACATACCTCCCTCCATTCCCCTCTATTCACCGTAGTCTTTGTTAACTGGCTCGACGAGTGCCCATAAGCTTACACTGCCTCCTCACACGATCTCCTCCATATCAGCTGCCGATCCACTCCAAACTCGTCTATTCTCATTCAATATCCACTCAAGCAGCAGCATGCATGGCACGCATAATATCACTCAACAGTCTCCTCAGCGTGTGTGTGTTCAATCCATCTCCATTTTATTCTTCATATTTGTTGGACGACAGTAGGTCCTTGATTGTTTCGTTGTCTTTCAGAATTCCTTTTTACTAATCCTTTATGGTATAATTTAGTTGAGCAGTTGGAGATGCTTTTTTTCAGAGTGCCAACCAAGTTTATGAGCCATATAAAAAAAAGAATTAACTTGTCATTAGTGTTGACGGTGTCCGGATCTTGTTCCTTATGCTCCTCAGTTCAATAGATTTTTACACTGATTTCAGAGTAATGAAGAAGGTCTGCTTTGCTTTTCAGATCCTTTCTGGCTTTGGAGTCTTCATCCTAGCTGCCTGTAATTGAAACGATTTTGTCTAGGTAATTGGAAGAGGTTGATTTCCTTGAGATTTTCCCCCGTTGGTGGTGATTGGAGCTTGTTGTTGTTGTTGTTGGTAGATGGATATCTTCTCTACATTCACTTAAAGTCCTGTCTTCACTGCCAGCCTCTTCTGCCAACTTGGTGATCTTCGCCTGGTGCATTGTACTATTATATACCCTAAAACTCTAACAAGTCTTCTCTCAAATAGAATTGTTGTTCAAATGGAAATGTTTTCTGAATACTATCTCTTCATTACTAAATAAAACGCTTGTTAGTGTTGTCAGTTGGATAGGTGCGTGATTGGTTTACCATCCCAGTGGGATTTTAGGTCTGTAATCACAAACATTACCCCACTGAGAATGAGCCATTAAGATTCAAATCTCTGAAGGGGAGGGACATTATTTCCATTGTGGTTGCAGATGTGTACCTTTCTGACTGACTGACGAGTGCAAGAAAGCGCGAAACCTAGGTCTAAAGCTTCCTGTTGATTGGCTCTAATCACTTAATACATCCCAACTTTAAAATCAGTTAGTGTCAGGCTGAAACTCCACTCCACTCCACTTACCATTAACGTTTTCATAGTTGACGATAGTTACCCAAGCGGAATTAAGTGGTAGGGTGGAGAACTCAACCATCCGGTCTACTGTCTGATTGCGAAGGAGTTCCTAAGCCAATGAGCCATGTCTCTACATCTGACTTACATCTTAGTCTAATCCAATTAAAGAAGTACTGGTCAATGTCTTCAAATCTTATTTTCATCGCTTTCATCAGGGGGGGGGGGTAAATTTAATTATGTTTTGTCGCTCATCATTTTTCGCTCTTCTCTTTTCTTCACAGATCGCTCAAGAACACGGTGTAACACCACTGGAACAATCCTCTGATTTTAAACAACGATGTGATGAGGATGCCTATGAAATTCTTTCACGAATAAGGACTATGCGGGTGAGCAATTCAAGTTATCGTATATATATATATATATATATATATATATATATATATATATATATGTATATATAACAACAGAAGCAAGAGTCAGGCAACAATCATTTTAGAACACGCATATTATATTTTCATGTACATTACTATGATATTAAGTAAACAAACACAGTCTTCCGATTGGTTGTTTCTCACGTAAAGTTAATCTTTCATCTATTTGTGACTGTTTCTTGAATGTCAAATCCTCGATATGTTAACTGCATCCGCCTACGCAAAGTCAATCTTTTCACTTCTCACGAACTGGGTATATACGTAATTACTCTCATATATATATATATATATATATATATATATATAGTAGCAGGAGTAAGCCACATCCTTCTTTACCGCCGTTTAAAGTGGAAGATATGAGAAGGCTAGTCATCTTTGACTATAGGTGTTTGCTTCTTATTTCCTATGTTAGATGGCAGTGTAATATGGTCAGTGCTGGGTGTTAGGCTTGGGGTGTTCGATAAACAGGGCAGGTCATCCTATGAGATTGTGAAGAGCTACATTGGTCAAGATGGCTGGAACATGTGTTGTGTATACTCAGTCGTCTCTTTCTTCATCGAGCAATGTGTTAGCTGACATAGGATTGAGTTAGAAATGAGTTAGAGGTGTGTGTGTGTGTGTGGGGGGGTAAAGCCAATACAGCATCATTCACGACTATCGGCCTTAGCCCCTTAGAGGAGGCAGCCATACTATCTAACCAAGGTCCTGGTGGTGACATGACTGAAAATGGTTCTCACTGGTACAAATATATATTCTCTTTCGGCTATCTCTCACATCCATGAAGTACTCATTTTTTTCCGTGTAATTACTCTGCCTGCTGTACATTTCTCCCCTTATCTTTATATGCTATACGGTGTGTGTGTGTGTGTGACATCGTAAACTGGTGCGCTTCTAAGTGAAGTTCTCTGTCAAAACCCAACTGGTCAACAGTTGCTTCTAGTTAATCAGCTTCTGTCGTTATTATTGAATATAAAGTTCATATTTGCCAATCAATCAAGCCTTGAAATAGTCAAATTATGTGTAACACTGTTAATCTGGGTGGATGGATTCAAATCCTGTTTAGTAATTAAATTTAGTAAAATTTTGTGATTGTTTAAACTCGTCAGAAAAATATGTCGTATATCTGCGACAATGATATTATTATTATTATTGTTATTATTATTATTATTATTATGGCATTTACGCACTCATCATCTCCTGTTCAAAATGGGAACTTGTATCCTTCCCATATACTTTGATACTGTAAGTGTATGTGAATATTGGTAAATACACTTGGAGAAAACGATACTTATCTACTTTGGACTGTATATTAGTGAGTGAGCATTTCGTACAAAGCAGTTGAAACAATACTGTCCCTAGGTCAGGTAGGTAACTGAAGGAGATAGTAATAGATTCCTCCCATTGGTGACGATTGGTACTTGTTGTTTTTTCTTATTGTTGTTGGTTGGATGTCTTCAGTAGTGTTCCTCTCTTCTAAAGACAAACCTATTAATGATATTAGATAGTTGGAGGCAATCGGCAGAAAGCCCCGCTCGATCTAGGTTTCGTGCTAGTTGGCACTCGTCAGCTAGGCGTATTTGCAACCTTGAAGGAACTCATATCACTTCTGAGATTCGAACCTGCGTCACCCAGTGAGACGTTACCACTGAGCTATTCGGGCTCACGATTGACCTCCTGTAGGACTGTAGTGGGTATTTTCATTGGACACTAGTAACTAGTGTGACGTGTCTAGTGCTTTCCTTCCCACCATTCTAGAATGGTGGCCACATTGCAAGCCTGACTGATAGGATTCAGTCTGCACCAAGGAAAGCACTAGATACGTCACACTAGTTACTAGTGTCCAATGAAAATACCCACTGCAGTCCTACAGGAGGTCAATCGTGAGCCCGAATAGCTCAGTGGTAACGTCTCTGACTGCAGTACTCACTGGGTGACGCGGGTTCGAATCTCAGAAGGGACATGAGTTCCTTCAAGGTTGCAGATGCGCCTTGCTGACGAGTTCCAACTAGCACGAAATCTAGGTCAAGCAAGGCTTCCTGCCGATTGCCTCCAACTATCTAATGTCATCAAATCAATGTGCACCGTGATGGCGAGCTACCTAGAATGGTGGCCGCATTGCAAACCTGACTGATAGAATTCAGTTTGCACCAAAGAAAGGACTAGACACATCACACTAGTTACTAGTGTCCAATGAAGAGACTTATTAAATTCGCATAAATTTATCATCTGCAATATGTAACATATGTCACCTTCCTCGATGGGGGATTGTTAGCTGACATAAGATTGATCAAGTTGGTAAAGAGCCAGTGGTGGTCAAACCAAAACATGGCTTCATCAGGCAATGAAATCCACAACAGTTAGTTTAAGCCAGCCATTTAGGTAGATTGTGAACTTCCTGGTTGGAATCCTGTGAACGGTAAAAGCCAATGACGGCTGGAGACAGACAATTGGTGATATGACTCAAAGTCGTCATTCTCAATGACTGACGCAGATGCATCCACTCCTTATGACTTATAATATCCAATAAAACTACATTGTTCTTCGATATTACTATTCTTTTGCCTCATACCTCTGTTTACTGTCTCTGTTTTGCATTTCTTTTTTTAAACTTTCTGCTCTTGCTTTGTGTGCTAAGTGGAGTGAAGTGTGGCGAATTGAACTGTTGCACACACCTGTGCAAAGTTCTACGCTGCAGTCAATCAATCAGTCAGTCAGTATATATTCTTTCATTTTGTCTTATTTATTTATTTTTTTCTTTTTACTTATTTCATCCTTTATATATAGGCTCGAAAGTTCCGTGATGTAAACCTAATTGATATAGCTACAAAACTTATCGGTATACTTGTACAAATTCGTACATTAACTGAACATGACGATTCAATTAAAGATTGTTCTAGCATACAACAATCTTTACGGGAACTTAAATCAAGTCTGCATTGCAGTAATATTCAGTAAGTTATGTTTAATAATAATAGTAATGATAAAAATGAAAAATACAATAGAAACAAATATGTGAAGTCATCATGATTGATTGATCCCAGTTACCCTGATGAATAATGCTTATTCACTAGGCTGTGGGTTGGTGATACTACCCAAGCCAAATTAGGTGGAGTGGGATTTTATTACCCCAGTGCCTAACCAAATGAAGAGGGAGGAGTGCTCAAACTTGCTACATTTCCACACGAATATTAGTTAGTTTGCATTATATACTTATTGCCAGAGAAGGTGAATGTCTTCAACTCCGGTAAATATGGTTCATTGACTCGAAAGTATTACTCTTTATCACGTCTATGGAGCAGTGTTTATTCGATTTTCACAGTTATATGTGGATGCGTTACAGCTGATCATGGTTCCTATAAAAAAGTTTGTGGGTAGGTATTACTTCCCTCGGTTGCCCATACTGTAGGAGATGAGTTCTTCTTGGATTACATGAAACAGAAGGTTCCTTAGTGTTGCATGTGACTACAGAGCCAACCCAGGGGACTATTCCTTCAGGTTTGTCACACACACACACGCACATGGCTATGAACACGGTCACAAAGTAAGTTGGGATGCACAATTTTCGGGTTCGACCTCTCTCTCAAGAGCGGATAGGCAGCATAGCGGGTTTGTCATACATCTGAGAGGAACACTGTACCGCCATCACACCTCTATTTGTCAACAGTACGACTTCGTTAACAGACTCCCAACATAACGTAAATAACCAGCATGTGAAGGTAACAGCTATCGGTAGATATGTATAAATGAGTTGTAAGGTTGGTCAAAGTAATTCACAAATTTTTAAGAGTCAACCTTTTCTAACCCCACTTATTAGTATTAAAAGTCAAAAAAGGTCAGTGTCCATTCCACCCATACCAAGTTTTAGCATTACAACGTCTATGTTATTATATGCGTGTCGCCGCAAGAAGTTCCTCACCCCTCTAACTCTAAGATAAAGACCCTTTTTAAAAAAAATTCTTTTCACTGTCATGTAAGTGGCATTTCTTATACGACTGAAGCTCCAGTGACTATAGATGTAGCTAAAATATCCTCTTAGTTTCTTATAAAAACACAGTGATTGAATTGAGGCGTAAGTAGCTCAGAACACATTGTCTCTTTGAAATCGATCGATGGGATATTCAGATTAACTCGTCGTACAAGAGGTAGTTGCTGTTGTAATTTACTGGATAACCGCTTTGGAATTTGACACTATGACTGATAAGTTCAAGTCTCAGTGAGGAAAACCATCATTCACTGAGTAGAATTCAAGCACACATTCAGATGACGAGTCCGAAGATGGGACGTAATGCTGCACGTCTTGAATTCCATTGCTATTCATCATCAACCGTAATGGTGAACAGATTGCAGTTTGCTAGAAAAGTACGATTGCTATAATTTTGCACTACAGAGTTGAGCGGTGGAATCTTCGCCAACAATACACGTAGTAGGGGTTCGAATCCCTAAACCTCGCTCAACCGACAGTAAGCACAGCAGAGAGGGAAGGTTCAGCGTGGCTCTAGCAACCCCACCCCGTGAAAACGGAAACCAACTGCTAAAATTTAATTTCAAGTTTGTTCCACTCGGAATGACAAGGGTTGATTGCATGCAATTTCAAGCATATTAAGAGCAAATGATCGATCTTAGCTATAATTGATTAGGAATACGCTGAAGATAAACTACATCGGTGTGTAGTCCCAATTATTGGTAACCGCTAGTATTCTAATGGTTTCATCCTTTACTGACATTCAACTCTTTCCTATGTTATTTGATGAGCGGTAAGCTTTTGTTGAGGCCTGTTTTATTTCTTTATGTTCCTAGTGGAATATAGGACTTCCAGATAGGGGGGCTTTCAAGTTTCAGCAGCAGTGGTTTTATTATTTTTACAGGGTTGAGTTGTGCTAGCCTCACACTCAACCAACCTCCCCTCTTTACCGGCCTGCCTAGCGAGGTCTAGGACTGCGCCGGCCCCGGGGATGGAACCCCCAGGCCTTTAGCGTGGTTGGCGAATGTTTTACTGTTGAATCACCGACGCATTTTTGATAGGTTATCTATTATTTTTTTACTGCTGACAACTATTGACTGCTATGTTTTTAAGCCTGGTTAAACTTCATTGTCACTTAATGCGGTCAACCCTTTTGTTTGTTAAACAAACAAGTTTTTGAACTGAAGATTCGCGTCTCACAGATGACACTCTTTTGTCGCCGGTAGTTCTTTAAGTGTGGTTTGTCAGCTGCGTTTCAGCTTTTCCGATAGAATTTGGTTTTATAAGAAAAAGAATTCAGCTATGTACAGATGTCGTATTCGAAGTCTCTTTGTGCGATATTGAGGGACTCTGTGTAGCAATGTGAAGCATTCATGCAAGTGGGGGTGTTCGATTTCCAGAGTTGACAAGGTGTTCGAGGATGTAGCTGCTACTATTCTTCTTTTCTCTTCTGGCTAACCAAGCTGGACAATGTTCCAGAATACGTTTGTGGACTTGACGTTGTGGTGTCTAGAGGTGAATGTCCATTTTGTCAACGTACTTGCATAATTAGAGAACAACTGGTTATCAGCTAGACTGCATAAAGACATATCCATTTTTAAAGACTTTCTATATCATTCTTCCGCGTTCCAAATGGAAAATAGGACTTCGTTCTTGTACTCTGGAGTTTCAGCATCCGTGGTGTTATGATTTTTACACCGTGGGTTTTCTAGCCTCACATTCCTCCCCGCCGCCACCAGCCAACCTTCTGTTCTATCCGGGGTTACTGTCGACTAGTAAAGTGGACGAGGTTTCGGAGTGCATAGTCCAGGAACTGAACATGGATCATCTGTGCAGTCGGCGAGCAATCTACCCCTGAACTGCACAAATTAAAATAAACTACTTTAAGTTGGCGCTTTTTTAAATATATAAGTGGTATAATAATCTACCTCAGCGAGCGATAGATAGTATTCCCACTGGGACCCGAACCCTGCACTCATCGTTTCAAATGCCTAAAGTGTTATTCACTGTGCTTAAAAAGCCAGTTATTATTTCTTTGTAAGGAATACCATGACTCATAGATTACGGGATTCAAGTATATTTAGCTGAAGAGTCCCAAATAGGACGAAATGTTCATGGCCTGGATCATTTGCCACTTTTTTTGTTGTTGTCATTTTTGAATTTATATTGTTGTCTAATTTTTCTTTTCAGAGTATTTGAAGACAAAGTAGAAGTCGGTATTCGTAATATAATGAGCGGTATGTGTTCATTGAGTAACTTGAATGCATTTCTCTACAAACATCCCCGTCATTTACAATACTTGTAAATCAGAATACTACTACTAATAATAATAATAGTAATATATTTCGCTCTTGTACTATTAATCATAATACTCATAATGAATGATAATACTGCTGATCACAGGATATATATGTATGTATACGATGAAAAACCATGTGATGAATAATATTCATTATTGGTCTTGTATTATGGATGTGTTTGCGTGTAACTATGCTTTTCAATTCCTTAGTGTTGTTATGTAATGCATTCTGTTGTATATGGGTGAAGTAACTTGTTTCTTTCCTTCCTTTGTTCAACTTGTACTTGTTCTGCTCTCTCTGTATATCTCGCCGTCTCTTTTTTCTCCTGCCTTTATTCCTGCGCGCCTCATTGTACTGATCTCTGTGTGTGTGTGTGTGTCATGGGAAACAGGCGATTTATGCATATTTGATCTGATTTATTCACTATTATTTTTAGTATTATTATTATTATTATTATTACTGTACACAAAAGTATCTGACAATGCCCACTCTCATATTCAGTAATTAATTGATTAATCAGTCAGTTAGTCATATGTAATTAAGATACACAATTAATTATCATCTATTTTGAATTATGAGATGGAATTGTCTTCCTTTCTTTCTTTCTGTGATGTAATATTTCAGTTTCTCTTATTTCCCTAGTCGAGTTGAGCTTATTATTATTATACTATTAACTCAAATGGTTTCTAAGGGGAGTATTTCTTGACTAAATGTGACTATGACTATACACATTGAAGCTGTCCATTCAATCCTGGTGTTTGGTTATCAGTAGTTCTCTAAGTGGAATGTCAATCCGCAATCTGACTCGATTATTATATGATTATTATTGAATAGCACACAAACTTGGTACATTATGATGAGCACTATGAAGTGTGTGACTTACGAGGGCCAGGGTGGTACCCCGCGGACAAGCAGACCGAAACAGGTGGTGGTCGTCTTAATAGACTATCCCTTGAGCTCCTAACTTGATGTCTGATCCATCCACACAAGGCAGTGGGGCAAGCGTCAGCAGTTGTGTTCTCATGCCTTCCGGTGACCGAAATAGGTTCATGTGCCATGCCATCTTTTTGGATTCTGGAGCTCATGTACACCCACCACCACAGGTTTAGAATCAGGGTTTCTCAGTTATCCAAAGGCAGTAGATATTTGCATATCCACCAGTCCGGTTGTGTATGTGCCAGACACTCGCATTCTCTAAGTGATATTAGTTTGTCATTTGCCCTGAAATTAGTCAAATCCCTATGAAACCAACATTTGAAAATTAATCTTATGCTCACTAGTTAGTGGCTAAGGGATGGAGTCTTAGTGACTAAATAGTCCACCGGATCGCCTCGTGACGTCGAAGGTCCTGGATTCAATTCCCAGCAGGGGCATGTGTGGTACTGATGAAGTCTCGGACTTGTATGAAACGCCTATCAGGTACTCCCTGATGGTTTTCAGTGGTTCTCTAATCTTAATTTGTTATATAACTTGATATCAGTCAAAATAATAGTAATAACATCTTTATTCTGGACAGTATTTATAAAATGTACGTACAGAATTTGCAGAGGAGTTAATTGCACGATATCTTACCTTTGTACAATGTCTTCAAGTAAAATATTAATTGACAGTATATCATCCTGTGACACAATATCTAGGTGAAAGTCAATTGTAAGACTTTCAGAAGTACAGTTTGAGACGCAAGGACTTAACTGAAGAACAGTTATCTCATGTATTGATTGGAACACGTTGCCGCCCACAATCAGGCCTTTCCTCAAGTCTAGTAGGAACTTACAAATCAAAATCTTGTAAACATTTTAAATACACACAAGAGTAGATAATACCATTAGAGGTCATATTGTTAATCGATTAAAACAAACCGAACGAGAGAAAATATATGCAACAGAGAGAGATGGAAGTTTTTGGTAGTCGAAGTTTTATTAAGCAGGCCACCTCAACGCAAACCATGATACTTGAGAATGCCTTGAAGCGTTCGATTCTTCAGATAGCCTTAAAGTAGGCTAATACATGACTTTGTTAAAGGATCGGATGGAATAATCTTGTCTTTCTTGGTGTAAAACTTGAATTTCTTTACTTTTGAGCAGAGATGATTAACTGAAACGGTTAAAACGCTAACAATAATGAAGAAATTTGGTATTATTATGAATTCAGGATTAAGCAGGACTGTTTTTCTTGACCTGATAATTATATGTTGGCCCTCTCCACTACTCCTAGATGTTTTCCGAGGGTACTCTAACTAATGTCATCTGGTGATTTAACTTGAAAACAATCAAAATCTTTGTAAATAAACATCGACCTAATACACACTAGTGACTAGCTATGGGATGGAGTACTGACTAGTAGTAAGGTTCATCAAGTGCAGTGAAATCCTCGCCGCTTTCGCTAGGGTATTGCACACTGGCAGAAGATTTAAGAGGTATACATCCGGTAGAATGTTGCCACACGACCTTAATAAAGCTTTTCAATTCTAATTTATCATACTGCGAGAAAACTTCGCTTACTGTTCAAGTGAATTCCAGTGGACAATCGTGTGTCCTATCTCCATTGAGTGAAACCGTAAGAATAAGGATGGATTGTGGTGCTCGTCGATACCTTTCAGTGATTTCCGCATACACTTCAACTGACTAAAGTTCGAATGAGTTTTATCAAAATTCGTTAGACACCAATCTTAATACCGAATTAGGAAAGGTGAGTCAGTTTGGAAAGTATTTGGTAGCATCTTGACACTTACAGTTCTGTTCAGATAATCATGTGTTCCTGATCAGCACCGATTTCAAACTTAAAGGGAGACAATGCAACATTTGAAAACCTCCGACATCTAGTCGAGGATCACATAGCTGTAATTTATTGATGGAGAGGGTCATTGAATGGACTCTACTATTTCTGGATTGATTATGAGATACTACTGTAACGACAGAAGACAAGGGCCAGCCAACAGATCGTTTATTGAGAAAATCAAGAGATATTTATAGATTTTTATGTACATTATTATTCGTTATTGTTAGCAGAGAGGTAACGTCTTCTGATTGGTTGTTTTCCTGCTGAAGGTTATTCTGTCATCTCTTTGTTGCCGTTTCTTAGGTAGTCCGTTGATATTTCTGCTAATCGTATCCGCCCACGCTAAGTCTGCATTTATTGGTTGCTGAGTTAGTCTTTGTTCTTGTTTTCTTCCTCATGACCAAGATTTGGGACGTAAACATTGACGTCAATTGTTGTCTACCAATTTTGGCTAGCAGACAGCTCTCATCACAGTACCATCAGCTAACAGTGGCGTGGGTGCACGCAGGACTACCGCTCCTTCAAGAACACATCTGTATTCCAGCCATGCTTTAGTGTGTACCAGACTTATTTGGTGATGATCATAAATCCCATCCTAAACAGGTTAACACAAGTAAACTGGTTGCACATGTTGTCAAGTATCAAACTGAGTTTGACTCAAGGTTATCAACTAACACCTTTAGAGGTGGTTCAGAAGAAAACTAATTGTACTTACAAGATGTTATGTCATAGTGAGTGAAGTCACTTGTGCATTAGAAGAATGTCTCACTGGGAGTTACTTGCAACTGGCCTGGAGGATAGCGATTATGATAACCTGTGTCGAGCTTCTACGCATGAAATCGAAAAGTGCTTACGTATGGATAGTGAAATCTGGTAGTCAGAACATGCGTGTTAGATGGAATTAGCAGTACTCGGAATCTGTTCTAGTTCATCTAAATGTCCGACTGTAAGAAACATGGTATCTTTGGGGTAGACGGTAAGCCGATTAACAACCCAGAAAGGTAGCTGGTACGTTGAGTAAGAGCACTTCGGAAGACAGTTTGGTTGGCACACATTACTAGTATTTCTTTTTCTTCATATCAGTACTCCATGGTCGGTTAGTGGTCATCCACCTAAACAAGCGGAAATCAGAAAGCGACTCCAAGTACCCAAAGTCATTAGGCAACTGGACCAACTAACTTTCACCCTGTCCTTCTCGAAGATTATAGTGAGATTCTAGTCAAGGAAGTGACTGAATTGTTGAGAAAGGTGTGAGAAAATGTCTCATTACGCAGTGCTTACGAGAGTCAACGGGGCATCACTCTGTTACCGGTTACTTCTAAAATACTGTCTGATTTCTTGTCCCACAGACTTCCTACAATGCACGATTCGTGGAGAGCAAGGTTGGCATGCGTTCAGGTCGTAGATGTATTGATCACGTATTTACTCCGCACCAGTTGTTAGAATACTGCCACAAAAATTAATATTTTATTACTGGCTTGTAAACTATGTGTAGCTTAGGAGTACTTCGCCTGGGAACCGAACCCGGACGATCTGCTCAGATGGCGAGCAATCTACCACTGACGCATGGAGAAGGCACTAGTGTTAGGCAATACTCGACAACTAGTTAGGCTGGTCAAACGATTAAGCTCTAAAAATCTTTTGATAAGTTCACTGATCTCCGAAAAGAATGGGACTTTGGTAATCTCAGAGGAAAGAAGGCCAAAAGCTTTGGGTAGAACATGTTGAAGATCATTTCAAACGATTCACGGCTACTCATCATCCTTGTGTAAACTGCGTTGTAGACACCACAGTCCAAACGATACTTTGGGATTGTGAAAGCTATGTTTAATATATTACTAATCAAAGTTGTGGGGTGGGATATTACGAATTCAGAGGTGTGTAAGAATGACGATGAATTCCTGGAGTACCTGAAAGACAAAGAGACTAGTGTTACGCAACCACAGACTCCAGGAGACACATGGAGCTTTGATTTTTTTATTTTGATTTACAGCTTGATTCCACACCGTATTTTCACTACAAGTGGGGAATTTTCAGCATGGATATCGGTAGCCCAAATTCAGGCCGACCATAGATATCGGGTGTGCGCCGGCAGGGGATCGAACCCCGGACCATGTGCATGGTCGGCGAGAGTCCTAACCACTGTGCCACCGACGCACTTTGGTTTCGTAAATTGTGTCCGTATTAAGATCTTGCTGCTGCCCCACGGATCACTGTAAGATAAATCGGTAAGTATAATATTCAGTGCTATCAGTTAGTATCTGTCCTTACACGCATTGAATTTGGTGGGCTCAACTGGTTCTGATATATAGATATCACGATTTGAAAATTGATTCATTGGCCAGTCATTGAATTACGTCCTATTGGGTGGATAGTCAATGGGCTTTCCTTTTAGTCCGAACGTCCTAGATTCGATCCCCGTTGGGACCATGTGTGGTACTGTTGAAGAATCAGATTCACAATTTGCACAATAATTCGAAATTTACACAGTTCGATATGATTATTTCACCATAATTTCCTTGAAAAACTGAGATTATGCAGATCACAGTATGTGTAGTCTGCTTGATACCATAAATAGTAATGAAGAAAGCAGGCGTAAATGCATAAAACCATATACTACTGATTTATTTAGATGAGTAGATGTATGCCACCCACTTCAACCAGTAGTTCTTGCTAGACAGATCAAAGTTATCTAAACACCAGATGGTAGTGTGTAAATTGCGAAATTGTTAACTAATTTTCAAATCTGAGTTATGCTATCAACAGTTTGCCCAGGTAGCTAGCCAGAATTTGGGTGGTTTCAAGCGATTCGGTTCTCTGAGAGGAATCGGACCGAGTACACTATGAATAGGCTTACCTCCAAACGGGCAAAACGGCCTTCTGGTATTTAGATTACTTCGATTTGACTAATGGGCACTATTGAATGAGATATGAGTGGCATACAACTACTCATTTCAATCAATCCCTAGTATATAGTTTCATGTATGTACTGCTGAGGAGTCTTGGATTAGGATGACAACACAAAGATGAGTAGTTTAGAGAAAAACTCAGAAATTGTAATACATGCACTAGCACAAACAATCATACAATAGGGTTGGATAGAGTTACAGTTTTGAAAAG